TAGATTGTCTCTTATTCTAGATTTATCTGATTTTCTTTTCTTCATGTATTTAATTTTTGACTATCCAAAGCCTTTCCTTTAAACTGGAATGTTGAAGCTTAATTTCATATTCAGATTTGTACTTTTGGCCATAGTACTTTATAGGAGATAATGGTATACTTTGTACTGCCATACTGCATCATATCAAGAGACCTGTAATGGCAGATTTTACCAGTGCTAGAATTGCTTAGTTTGGTCACATGTTAAAGTTGGAAACCACCACATATTCATGTTATAGAGTATATTTCACTCTTGGTTAATAGAAAATAATCTGTTGCTTGATGCTGTAGCACTGAGCAAATATCATATCCTTAATCCCCCAGCAAATGCTTCCTTAAAAAGCGATTTCTTTTCCTATGGAAATATTAAGACAGGTTCTTAGAGATAGAGGCACCTAACAAGTGATTTAGTCTTAATCCTTATCCAGTTCTCAAAAATCCCTCTTTGTCAGACAGGTTGTTCAAGTTCTGTTTAAATATGTTAGAAATAGGTGCTAGCTGCGTGAGATCATTTAAGAGTTAAACCCAAATCCCCAGAGTTAAACCAATTCCCATTGCTAACTCTCGGAGCTCATCAATTAGCACTGGCCCTTTGCTTGTTTCAGCATCCTAGCCTATTTGTTACCCAAACGCCGCACTCCTGTTTGAGGCCTCCCTGCCTTCTCTGTCTCAAATGCTCTTCCATCTTGCTCAAATATATCAAGAGATCTTTCAAGATCACCCTTTCTAAATAGCTTACCCTTCCCATTGTTCTCTATTCTCTTGCCCTACCTTTTTCTTTTTTTCAGTGAAGCTTATTCTTACCTGACATACAGTTGTGCCTCTTTGTTTGTGGTCTGTATCCTTTCCGTCCCCACTCCCCTCCAGGGTAACCTCTGTGAGAGAAAGGGCTCTCTGCTACTGAACCTCCAGCACCTGGTACAGTCCCTGGCACGTAGATAGGGGCACTCAACAAATACTTGTTAAATGAGTGCCTCTCCCTAGCTTCTTCATGTTGCTCCTTTTGCTGCCCAGTGAGGTTTTCTAGAACAAGTAATTTTTGCTTGGGAGGAACTCTGGCAGTGCACTGGTTACACATTAGGCTGCCAACTGTAAGGTTGAAACCATGAAAGAAAGACCAAGGCTTTCTGCTCCCAGGAAGAGTTAGGGTCTTGGAAGCCCACAGGGGAAGTTCTGCCCTGTCCTACAAGGTCTTTTGGGGTTGACACTGACTCAATGACAGTGAGTTTGAGTTCTGAATTTTACTAAGGATTGTAGTCCTTCAAATGTGTGGAGGCTTTTGTTCCCTTGTAGATTTTTCTACTCCAAGCTACCTTTGGCTCCTTCAACGTTTTCTTTAATAAGGTGATACCCACCTAATTCTTCACTATTCTTATCTTGCTCTCTCTCAAAGCCCTATGGCTAGAATTAAATATACAGGCACTCCTCTAGCAAAGCATACAAGGGGACTTCTAATGGTCTGTAAATGTTGCTGTGTACTGTTGAGTCAGTTCTGACTTATGGCAACCCCATTATCCCATAGGGTTTTCTTGGCTGTAACCTTTAAAGGAGAAGATTCCCCGGTCTTTCTCCTGCAGGGCTGCTAGGCAAATTCAGCCATCAACCTTTTGATTAGCAGTTAAGCACCGAACAGTTACACCACTAGGGCTCCTTTAAGAAATATTAATCTTCTATGAATAGTTTTTAAAATTTAAATGTATTTTGTATAATATCCAATAAAAGGTTTGGAATGTGTAATTCATTGGCACCTAAGTGTGTTCACAATGCTGTGTAACCATCAGCTCTCTAGTTTCCAAACTTGTCATCACCCTGTGAAAACATCAGGACTGTACCACCATCCCCTCTACCTCCTTTGCTGGTACTGGCAGCAGGCTCTCCAGCCCAAGTCCTACAGCTGTTTTTTGCACAGGAAGTCATTCAGACACCTATGTCAGGAGTCTGTAGCCCACTTAACAGGTTTGCCCCAGGGCAGGGTCTATAGCTTTACCTGATTGCTGTGAGACACATAGAAAGCTGCCCTTCCACATCCCGAGTTCTGCTGTAAGCATTCAAAAACCATAACATTGTGAATGGAGGGGAGTGCAGAGTGGGGACCCAGGGCCCATCCGGGGGAAATCGGACATCCCCTTGCAGAAGGGCTGGAGGGAGGAGAGGAGCAAATCAGAGTGCAGTGTAGTAACGATGAAATATGCAATTTTCCTCTAGTTCTTAAATGCTTCCTCCACCCCACTACCATGATCCTAATTCTACCTTACATATCCGGCTGGACCAGAGGTGGTGCACTGGCACAGACAGGAACTGGAAATACAGTGAACCCAGGACAGATGAACCTCCCAGGACCAGTGGAGAGAGTGGCGATAGCGGAAGGTTGGAGGGAGGGTGAGGGAGAAAGGCGGAACAGAGGACAAGGCCTATATATGGCCTCCTCCCTGGGGACGGACAGTGGAGAAGTGGGTGAGGG